AGTTTCCATACAACATAGTGCTCATCCCAAAGTTACCAATACCCATCTCTCCCACCCTCCCTCCCTCCCACCCCCATCAACCCTCAGTTTGTTCTCAGTTTTAACAGTCTCTTATGCTTTGGCTCTCTCACTCTAACCTCTTTTTTTTTTCTTCCCTCCCCCATGGGTTTCTGTTAAGTTTCTCAGGATCCACATAGAGTGAAACCATATGGTATCTGTCTTTCTCTGTATGGCTTATTCCCTTGGCATAACACTCCTCCAGTTCCATCCACGTTGCAAGGGCCATATTCCATTCTCATTGCCAGGTAATTGCTGCATTATTGTGTATACAAATACAATTTCTTTATCCATTCATCAGTTGATGGACATTTAGGCTCTTTCCATCGTTTGGCTATTGTTGAGAGTGCTGCTATAAACATTGGGTACAAGTTGCTATGCATCAGTATGCTCTTGTCCTTGGGTAAATTCTAACGGTACTGTTGGGTCATAGGGTAGGTCTATTTTAATTTTCTGAGGAACCTCCACATAGTTTCCAGAATGGCTGCCAGTTGCATTCCCACCAACAGTGCAAGAGGGCTCCCGTTTACTCCACATCCTCTCCAGCATCTATAGTCTCCTGATTTGTTCATTTGGCCACTCTGACTGGGGCGTGAGTGATATCTGAGTGTGGTTTTTTTGATTTATTTCCCTGATGAGGCTGACGTTGAGCATCTTTTCATGTGCCTGTTGGCCATCGGATGTCTTCTTTTAGAGAAGTGTCTATTCATGTTTCTGCCATTTCTTCCTTTGGGTTGTTGTTTTTCGGGTGTGGAGTTTGGTGAGCTCTTTATAGATTTTGGATACTAGCCCTTTGTCGATATGTCATTTGCAAATATCTTTTCCCATTCCGTTGGTTGCCTTTTTAGTTTTGTTGGTTGTTTCCTTTGCTGTGCAGAAGCTTTTGATAAGGTCCCAGTAGTTCATTTTGCTTTTTGCTTTACCTTTGAGGATGTGTCAAGTAAGAAATTGCTACTGTTGAGGTCAGAAGTCTTTTCTGCTTTCTCCTCTAGGGTTGAAGTAGTACTTTCTTGCTCCCCATTTGGGGTAGGAAACTAAGACTCAGAAGTTAAGCTGCTTGCCTATGGGTTCATACAACAGGATTGGGGCAGAGGCAAGGATTTGAGTCCCGGGGCTGGCTGACCCCAGCCTCAATCCTGCTCTTTCTCTCTTGTTCTTGTGAGCCCAAATTCAACCTAATCAAGTAACGGGGCTTTGACTGCACAGTAAATAAAACCAGCTCATTCAAATGCAAATATCTAGAATTAGCATGGGCCAACAATTTCACTCCTGGGTATGCACCCAAAAGACTGAAAACAGGTGTCCAACCAAGAATTTGTACATGAATGTTCACAGCAGCACTAGTCACAAAAGAAACCAAAAGGTGGAAACAGCCTGTCCATCATCTAATAAACGGGTCATCCAAAATGTGGTATATCCACACAGTGGAATATTATTCATCCATAAAAATGAATGAAGTCCTGCAGTGCCTGGGTGGCTCAGTGGTTAAAAGCGTCCGACTTCACGCTCAGGTCATGATCTCAGTTTTAGTTTCCAGTCGCTTGAAGACTCTGTGCTGAAGCAGCCCAGAGCCTGAGCCTACTTTGAATTCTGTGACTCCTCTCTTTCTGCCTCACTCCTTGGTCTGTCTCTCTCTGTCTCTCAATAATAAATAAGCGTTTAAAAAATTGTTTTAATGCTACACCACAGTTTCAGCCTGAAAACATCTGTTCTGAGTGAAGATACTTGAGGAACATAAACAGTCATGTATAGTCAGCTTCCATAAATATCAGAATAGTCAAATCCATAGAAGAAAAAAATTAGACAGCTAGTAGTTGCCAGAATTGAGGTAGGAAACAGCTTTACAGGTGTAATGGCGGGGTTCCTTTGGGAGTATTCCAAAGTGCCTGGAACTAGATAGTGGTGATGGTTACTTTTAAAACTGTGAAGATTGCCTAAATGTCACTAATGGTAAATATTGTCTTATGTGTATTTTACTACAATAAAATAACTAACGCCAGTTTCTTAAGAAATGCAGATGCCTGTCTCAGATCAGAGATTCTGATTCTGGGATGGGGCGCGGCCTCCAAATATTTTTTTTTTTAAGCTACTATGTATTGATTTCTGATGAAAAACAGAAAGTCCTTGGATTGGCTGCCTGAAAGCCAATTGTTCCCTGAAAACATGGAGGCAACAGCAATTGTCACCCTGACAGCCACACTCATGCAAGAGGTTCACTTCTCTGGCCATAGCTGAAGGGACCAGAGAGTTTTGAAATAGGGCCTTTAGCTTTTTGAAGGTCAATAAGAGGATGTAAACTGGGGCTATTCTTCTTTTTCCCCAAACAGACTGGGAAACAGGAGGAGGCAATCTTCTGTGAAAAGAAGAAACAAAAGCAAAAACTCAGCAGGGAAATCAGTGGTGGTGGGAGACAGGGCTTTCGTGTATCTAAAGATGTCAGGTCAGGTTTATCAGTTCACCTGGATCCTTGGGTTTAAGGCACCTAGTGGCCCCCCTTCTAAATCTCTACCAATACAGACTTGCAGCCAAGGGTGCAATATGGGCAAGTAGGCAGTTTGGGTGATGATGCAGAAAATAAAGAAGGTCGCTTTATTTTCCGTATTGAATTAAGCTTTCCTCGAGCCAATACTTTAACATGACACTGAAGAAGGCAAAATATATTGCCGTGCCCGCTGTCAAAACCATGTCACTCATTTCCATTCCGGTGGTGGCATTTCAAGTAGGACAGGAAAAGAATGTATTACCAGTAAGGTTGGAACACCTGGAGAAGCTGGATGCTGTGCTGAGCATGTTGCCAGCCAGAAAGAAAAAAATATACCTGCCTAGGAAGGAGAGCGGCATCAGTCAGTGGTAAATAAATGTAATGTGTGCTCTGGAAGTGTCCTGTTGGCAGAAAAATCTGCGTTGTTTGCAGAGCCATAAAAAACTGTAAATGAGAACATAAATAGGCTTGGAACCTCAGGTTTGAAGCACTGACGGCAGGCAACTTGTACAGCAGCACTGTGCCAATTTGACAATAAATTTCATATATTGGAAAAAAAAAAAGAAAAAGAAAATCTCCCTTAAAAATTATTTTTGCATATGCTGTCATATACATATACATTTTATGATGATACCACATTATATTTGTTGTATTTTAAAATACAGACTATTTTTTTTTTAAAAGGAAGTACTCATTTCCCTTGGATGTTGTGGTCACTTAGTGCACTTACGTATGTGTGTGTCTTGTGCAAAATTAACATAATCTCTAAATAAGATGTAGAGAATATGATTATTTTTATTCACCCAAAAAACAATGTATCTAATTATTTTAGGGGTGAAACAGGGTAAATTTACCCCCCCCCGCCCCCGCTACACACACATTTTGAGTAACGTGACTGCTCTCTTGCCTTTATTTTTAGAACATGCTTAAGGCAGTCCATGCGACCCAGAAACAGATAGACCTGGTAAAGCTCCATGAACAATCCAAGAGGAACCTGGAAGAAGAAATCCAGAACTACAAGGATGAGGCTCAGAAGCAGAGAAAGATCATCTTTCAGCTGGAAAAGGAGCGAGATCGGTACATCAATGAAGCCAGTGACCTTACCCAAAAGGTAAGTCACTCCTTGATGATGTGGATGAGCACAAGCACGTTCTTTCTGATTGTCACACACTGTAGCAAAGAGGATTTATTCAGATGTGCGCTTGTGGTTTGCGTGAGAATTTAAGAGAAATGACGTCAGCAGAGTAAAAGCTGTCCCAGAGCTGATCTGGGCCAAACTGCGAAATGGACAAGGCCAGTGCTTAGGGGTCCCCTTCACCTGTTGTCGTGCCGTGCAGCTTCCCAGAGCTGGATGCATGGGGGTGGGATGGGATGGTGGGGGAGCTCTTGGCATCGTTATCTCTGCACCCTTTGTTCACACCCCCCACGTCTGGCCCTGAAACCCTTGTCTCTTCAGACGGAGGATTGCAGCTAGTAGTTAGGAGCAAGGCATCGAATTAAATAACCTCAGATTAAGACGTGAGTAACTACTGGCATCAGGCAAATGTTCACACAACTATGGGCAACCTGAAACCTCACCTGTGGCAGAAATTCACACGTTGTGTAGCTAAGTCCCACATCTCTACCTCTTGTACGCTGCTGGGGAGAGAGAATGCTCAAGGCAGTGTCTTGAAGAATGACTTCGGGGATTTGGATTCTACTTTAACCAGTTGTCTTAGCACATTGCCAGCATTAAGCATGACTGGTCAGACTATCCACCTTCAGTGCATTCACACCTGCATAGAGCAGGGGGCTTCATGAGGGGGTTTCATGGTGTCAGGAGGTGGGGTTGGGAAATGGGGGAAAGTTTTAAGTATGAGGCTGAGAGAAGAGAGTTTGGGAGAAAAGACTCATTTAATGAGGTTCCCAACCACCCCCGGCTGCCTCGAAAAGTGTTCTCTACTCTGCAGCATAAGCCCTCTTTATCATCTCCTCAATGAAATCTTCAGTGCGTTCTACAGTGTTTACCAGTGCGCTTGAATGTTTACATTTGTTTTGTGTTTTTTTGGAGTGGGATCTCAGAGAAGATGACAAGGAGGACAGCCAACAGTTGAATTATAAACATTAAGAAAGTGGGAAACAAGCATTACTGTTAGGAAATCAGCTTCTTCCCGCTTAGACTAAATAAATGCCGAGCAGATGTTTGTAGAATGTAAGTTTGGAGGAACACAAATGCATATGCTCTGTCAAGCCCTGGCTGGACGTGTCTTCCTTGTAAAAGATCCCCCCGGTGATTCTCATACCCCTGACTGGGAGCCGTTGGTATACAGCATTTCTCTTCTGACTTAATCATCTTACAAGCGCCATTGATTGATTTCCTGACTCGGAGACGACCAGCTGTCAGTTCAGGAACTTGTATTCTCCAGCCTGGGCTGGCCCATTAGGCTCTGCATCCGTCAGCTTAAGCTGTAACAAATAACCCTCAAATTTCAGTGGTTTATAGCAACAAAAGATTTATCTTTTGCTCAAATCAATGGCCTTTGAGGGTCAGCTGCAGCCCTGTTTCATGCCATCTTCACTTCAGGCTGGCCTCGTACAGAGGGAAGACAGAGTAATAGTGAACCTTGTGATGCTCTCAGAGCTTCTGCTGGTAAGGGAAGGGCGCAGGGCTTGTCCATTCATATTCCCTTGGCCAAAGCTAGTCACGTGGCCAAGCCCAACATCCCTGGATAGGAGTATAAATCCTTCTAAGAGAGAGGCACTGTCTGGTGAGACAGTAAATATATCTGAACATATAATCTGTCGCAGCTTCCTACTTCACCTTCTTGATGATCAATCTCTCTCCACTCCTGGCTGCCATCACACTATCAAAACTAGTTGTTAAAAATTCCGATGTGATCTTAGTATCACCCCCAGCCTTACAAACCTCTGTCACTTCTCAGCAACTGGGGCAGTGCATCTTTAGCACATGTAGAAAATAATATGTCTATAGCTAGTGGGAATTAGGGGGAAACTGCTCAGGGCTGCAGTGGACTAACCCAGGGATGCCTTGGTCCCCCCTGGTAGAGTGAGTCAGTATTTGGACACATATCTATAACGCATGCAAGACAAAGTAATTGGTGTGCTGTGATTTATGAGACAGAGTCCAAGCTCTTTGTTCTTCCTGGAAAATCCTTCCTTCCCTTCTCTGTATGGAAAACTCCTCTTCATCCTTCAATACCCAGCTCAAGTGCTCATCTCTGGGGTCATGCCTGCTCTGACCTCTACTTTGTGGATTTGTTGATATCTCTGGAATGGCACTTATCATCTTCTCGAGTATTTTCTTTGCACATTTGCTTTTCTTACTTTACAGAGAGCTCTTGAGAATAGGGTCTTTATCTCATTCATTTCTTCACCTGCAGTGTGCTGGTAAATACTAGGCACCAATAAAGTGTGTGTTAAACAGATGGATAGATGACAAGTGATAAAAAGAATGCTGCCACTGATTTTAATACAGGATTATATATTTTTCTGTTTCCTTGTAAAAGGTAAGGGTACCAAGTTTTTTGTTGTTGTTTATTTTTTCTCTTTTCTTTTCTTTCTTTTCTTTAACTTAAATCCAAGTTAGTTAATGTATAGTATAGTATTGGTTTCAGGAGCAGAATTTAGTGATTCATCACTTACATACAACACCCAATGCTCATCCCAAGTGTCCTCCTTAATGCCCATCACCCATTTAGCCCATCCCCCCACCCAACTCCCCTCCAGCAACCCTCACCTTGTTCTCTGTATTTAGAAATCTCTTATGGTTTGCCTCTGAAAGTGCCAAGTTTTGCTGGTAACTGTTTTTCACAATTTCTGATGTTTAATCGCATAAGCTTATATAATGTATCACTAAATCATCTGAGCACAGTTCTTAAAATATTATTTATTAACTGCAATTTTTCTGTCTCTTACTTAACCCCTGATAGCCTTATATATGTTGCTATGGCAACTCCAGTCATCTCTAGACTTCTTCTTAAGGTCCCGTGTGTCCTTAATACATATAAGAAATATGCTCCTCCCCATATTTCTTTCTTTGTTTACTGTTACACACACACACACACACACACACACACACACACACACACTCGCACACACATACCTCACTCATTCAGACAAACAGAAAACTCCCTTTCATGCATTCTATTGATAGGGAGTTGAGGACTGATATCAGGGGCTGGGGATAATGTCACAAAACTGATGTTTTTATCTATTTCTGGAGTGAGTGTATGTTGTTCCAAGTTTTGACCCAGCAATTTCTTTTGTAAGAACTCAATCTATGGAAAAATAAAAATGCAAAGAGTTTTACAAAAGAACATTCTTTGAAATAAATTCTGCTACATTTATATGAGACAATATTATGTACCATGAAAACCACGTGTTTGAAAAGTAGTTTTAAAAATAGGGAACATGTTCACAATATGAATCTGACAAAAACAGAATGCAAAATTACTTATATGGTTTGACCTAGTTTTATCCGTGTGCATAGGAGAAGGGTTGATATTTGATTTTGAACTCTTCGTATTACTTATTTTCTAAATAGGTACCAAATATTTTTTGAAAGATGGATGGAAAGTATAATTAGATATCTGAATTAACTACTCAAAGACTTACTTATAGGTACTTACATTAAATTCTTCTTCAATAACATATTTATCATTATGGGCCTTCCCTCACTTCAAATTCATTTGGAACATGTTGCCATAATGGACAATCTTACCTGAACTATCCTTGGCAGTTTTAGCTGTGAGTGACTTATGGCACGGTCTCTTCTGCCTTCTGGGCTGCAAAAACAGTGTCGATATTTGCCTTCTGCTTCTTTCCATTTAGAGAAAAAAAGGTGAAATCTTAGATACTAAAAGGCCTACATTACATTTTATTAATTTTACTTGGCATTTGCAAACAAGGCAGAAGATCCTTTTCTGTGCCAGAATTGGATGGCTCAGAATCCCAAACCTTTTCTTATGTGCCTGTCTCAGTCAACACTTGCCATAATAATGCTGCATAATACAGAACCACCAAATCTCCCTGGAGTGCAAAAACAAGCACTTATTTCGCACACATCTGCAGTTGAGTGGGAGTCAGGTGATCGAGGCTAGGCTTGCCTGTACTTGGCTTGAGGCTGTGAATTGGGTCTGGTTTTGCTCTACATGTTTCTGATTCTCAGGATGCATGGTGTCCTCATGGAGAAAGAAAGGAAAGCAAAGGACAAACCCACCCACACAAGCACAATTCACAGCTCTCTACTTGCCTAATGTCCTTTGACATCCCATTGGCTGTGGCAAGTCACATGTCTTATCTCAAACAGCAAGGGGAGATAGACTCTTCCCACTGAGGTGGTGGGGACAGGGAGAGGGAGTGAATATTTGCAGAACCATAAGATAACCGAGTCCAACGTTTCAGCACTTTTTATCCTCATGGTTTCTCCTCTGCTGCACTCCCAAATTTTACTATTCAGATAAGTCGAGAGGCACTAGGAATGGCATTGTGAGTTGTGGTCCACCATATTTACTGAACTTTTGTAAATTCTGGGTAAAACCATTCCTGGTTAATAGTTAAATCTGTGACCCATCTTGCACATTATGCACTTAACTCATTTTAGAACCCCTCCCTTTTCATTTTAAATATTAAACTTCTGGCCATTCCTCTCCCAGACATTTTATATGCCAGAAAGCATTCTTTCACAATGGATGCTTACCTACATGTCCCTTAATGCTCTGCTTATTTGCCTGTAACAGTGTCGCTCACGCAAAACCCTCCTGCACAAAGTTCCAAGGCATGAATAATAATGTGCTTTCAAGGGCTTAGCAGTAAATGAGGAAAGCAAAGGTTGATCAAAGAAATATTGTTGACTGAATAGGTACTTCATGATGAAATGAAGCTCCTGTTTCTTTGATATTAATTTGAAGTTTTATACAGAGCATCTTCCATAGGATAGAACCCCGGACATACACAAATTATAAGCTTTTTCTGTTGTAATAAAATTAGTGTACAAGGGATTACTGCTTTCCTGCAGAACAGAATTTGATCCATAGAAACATCAAATTTGTTAAGTACTAATATTATAGAATAGGACATAATGTTAACCTGTCACAAAAATCTATTATTTAT